GCCCCCGCGCCCGCCCCGCGGGGGGGGGGCAGCCGGTACCCGGCGGGAGCGGGGTGACAGCAGCCCGGCTGGCCGCAGGATGGCAGCAGAACACCAGGAGTGGGAAGGGAGCCTGCGCTCTTCCACTAAACCTGCGACAGCTTGGGGCTTCGGCCTGGAGGTGGGTTTGGGGAGTGGTTTTTTGGTTGGTTTGTTGGACACACGGTTTTTATAGGCGACCGGGAGCTTGTGAGTTCTCCAAACCTGGAAATACCCTGAGCTATGGGCTACCGATTGAAAAGGACTCATCCCGCTTTGCAATAGTCGATAATGTTGGAAGGCAGAGGGGTCACGCACGGAACTCGGAGAGCTCCGAGAGAGCAGCATCAACACACACAAAACATCACTTTCGGTAGCGCATGTAATGCTCAGCACCCATAAGAACAGTGTAGAGGAAAGCAACACAGATTTGACTAATGCTTCAGGAGAACATGCCAGAATGGAAAACACAACTGTTAATTATTCAGTGTTGTCTAATTGCTTGTGTGTTTTAAGGCTTCTTGCCTTTGTGTTCCTGTTAGATGCTGTTGATGCCCATAACAGGTATTTACTGACTGTATAAACAATTTCTTCTAACAGATAAAATTTATCTCACTTGTTGGGTTTATTTTTACATTCATACATAGCAATTGATTGTTATTAATCACATCTTTCTCCACAGCAATACAAATCATTGCAACTTGCCAAGTTTTCTTCCCAAGATTCTCAGGTAGAAAATATCAACCTGGCCCTTCAGTAATTAAAAAAAAAAAAAAAAAATCTAATGATGTAATCTATGAAATGCTTGTAATTGTGCAACTAGTTATGCCCAGCCATAAGGCACAAATCTCGGAAAACGTGTTAATAGTAAAAAAATGGCTGTAGTTCACACATAGGCATGGCAAGTGCATGTGCAAATTTGGTGTACAGTCGTGAGCATTTTATAAGACTGGTCTGCATGATTTTAAATGTTTGGATGCGTATCTCTGTGCTTATATACAGAGACCCAAAGCCCATTGTCTACTTTCACTTACATGTTCCACTTACACTGGAAATGCAATGCCCTCAATACTATTATATAAATCCCCCCTTTTATTTTTTTCTTTTAAAGAACTATGAGTTTAAGAATATCAATATTTTATTATTCTGTTTGGCAATCAGGACTGCCACATTACTTTCCACAGGTTTCACGCAGTAATAAATTTCCAGGACGACCCTAGTCTAAAGATGTTAAGCAGGTCTGATGAAATAACGGCTTCAGCCCCAGGTAGCAGTAGGAATCCAAAACACTCCAAGGTTCTTCTAAGGTGAATTGTACCATTTTTTTCTGGTTCTGCTGCATTTGATTTTGAAAAAAAAAAAAAAAATCCCACTCGATCTTATCTTAGTGCCATTTTGAAATTATCAGATTTTCATTGCCTTTTAATGGCAAAGCCAATTCTTTCAGTCCAATTCAGCATCATTAAATTGTTAGAATAGCAGCTTCCTGTTTGATTCTTAATTATTCCTTTTTATTATATTTAAGACACTTAATTTTTTTGAAGTGGTTTACTCTCCTTTGTAATGATCTGTTGTGATTAGAATCTCTTTTATATTACACTGAAGTTTTAAGGGTATATATTGGTACTTCTAGTCTAAACCTCTATTTTCAAGGTATTTAGAGGATTAAATTCTAGGCTGACTCTCTGTTGTGAATTCACTTTGATGTTTAATAAAAAAAGGAGAGACACAATGGGAGAAACTGAAGACAGAAGGGACAGCTCTGAATTTTAGGGGCACATTGTCATGCACAGAAATCTTCAGGCATCTAGATAAGAATATACCGTAGCCTTAACTCTGAATTTCCTTCCTTTTGTGAAATTAGTCAGGCTGCTGACACTACTTAAACAGCCTTTTTCAATTTAAAATTCCACCCTCTTAACATTATGCAGCAGGACCAAGCGGTGTGAGTGTTTCAGAGGTGGTGTTATGACAGGGGTAGATGTATACATAATGGGGACTTGAGCGGGGAGCCTCGGAACAGCCATCGTATGGAGGGTAGGAAGAGCTATCATAGGATGTGGCCAGGCCTGTGTTTACACAGAAAAGGCTCATATTCTATATACTACAATTACATTAGCACACTGCCTGCGATCATATCTTGTTTCCTTGATGCCTAGAGATGGGGAATATAGGCTGTGATTATTGTTACAGGCTTTAGCAATAAGAAGGTAGGAGCCTTGAAATACCAGCAATTAGCGTTCGTGCCTAACAATAGCATGCCGTGGGGCTGTGTACAGAGAAGAGCACAGGGAAGAGTGGGTGGATGACACACAACCGGCCTCACTCGCAATACCAGGAGTTGAAAAATAGCCCAAGTTTAGGGGAACTGGACACCTCTCAACCAGGGAAGGTCACGCTGTATGCCTTGGCATCTACGTCTGTATCCCGCTTCATGATAGTTTTTGTGCAGAAAAGGTTTCACACTTCCATAGCAGGGCTGCTGCTGCAAAAAAAAAAAGTAGGTAGAGAGGGAACAGAAATCTTCCCCTGAGTCCTAACCATGGCTAAACATCATGATTTAATTTGGGCACAGCTTTGACTTCCATGTTTCAGAGGAGCTGTTCCTTTCCCTTAGGGTCCCTGTGCCCTCAGCAGCTTGATGTGCCCTCCTGTCTGCACTCCCTGCATCAGCATAACCAAAGTTACAGCAGCCCCCAATAACCTCAATATGGAGACTGAAGATGATAAGTAAGATGCTGAGAAAAACTCCTTGTAATGTCCCCTCCACACAGGATGGCATTGAGTTTGTTACAGACTTCAGGACTGAGGTAAGGCAGATCTGCCAGCTGAGCAGAGCGCTGCCCGCCAGCCTGATGAGGCCACCGTCCCCAGGATTCACCCTGTCTTTGCTCTCCTGTACCCACCCTGGCCAGAAAAGATCTCCTCAGCTCTACGGCATGGCTCCTGCAGGCACGTCAGGTCACTGTAAAACTGGTTCTGACATGGCGCCACATTTAAGCGGTTGCAGTTTCCAAGCTGGCTGCCCAAGTGCTGTTTGAACTGCCCACTGCACGACCTAATTGCAACAGGCTATGGGGGTTCAGTCCGCATACACACCGAATTTGGGAATGGGAATACCAAATACAAGCAACAACAATATTTGTAAGGAAAATTCACCAAATCATAGAATCCTAGAATGGCCTAGGCTGGAAGGGACCTAAGAGATCATTTAATCCAACCTCCCTGTCATGGGCAGGGACTCCTCTCAACTAGATCAGGCAACACAGGGGGACCGAGTGGGGATTCAACCCGTGACCTTGATGTTATCAGTACCACGCTCAACCTATTGAGACCCAAAACCTCCACAATTGTGTTGGTTATCTGCATAATATAAACTACTGTGTGGACAATGGCACTGTGTGTTGTAACAACACCTCTCTGTATTAGAGGTGGTGTCTTATCTGTAAAGGATCGGGTAAGAAAGTCTATTACTTTCAGTATTTAATGGAGGGAGAGGTGAGAAGTTCTTCCCCTACTTCCATGCCAAGTTTACGCAGTCTCTGCACTTGGCAAAAGGGACAAACTTCTTTAACACTGCAAAAACGGATTACAGAAATGCTACTTTGCATATTGACTTGTGGGTAGTGGCAGTCCTCCAAAACACTTTTAAGTCGTCATTTGGGAAGGACTAGCTTTCCCTATGGCTAAGCTAAATTAATAAGCTGAAAGTTGAAAGTTTTCTCTCATATTCATTCATTATAAAATGCATTCAGAAATTCTAAATACATAACAACTATCAATAGCCATCATTTTAATTAAAACAAAACCAAAAATCAACAAACCATGAAATTCCTTAAAAAAAAATCATGGACAATATGCTATACGAGGAGACCCTAAGGGTAAGAAACTGTAGGTGTTGGTACGTCCACTTGTACCAGGAATAACAAACCTTTCAGGTTTCAGCCACAGTGATTAATTTTAATGGCAGTAGACAAGAAACAATGTACATAGAGCTCTGTGACATGCTGCTTCTTTTTTTTTTTTATACTCTGAGAGCCAAGACAAGCCCTTCATATGTTAGCAGCTATTAATTAAGGCAACAATGTTTAAGCAGTGGGTTGAGGTAATTTTAAAACTGTTTAACCCTTTTAAGAACTGACGAGCTTTAAAAAGCATATATATGTGTGCTTGTGTTCACACTAATATATATATGTATAGGTATCTGCATGAACAGATTACATATATATGTATATATGCACACAACAGTAATGCCTACAACAGTTTTGGTACTTTTTTCAGGGAACAGTTAAAAAGCAATTCAGATCCATAATTTATAAAAGTGCCATTGCCAATTTATATAATTAATTACAGAACTGTTTGATAATGTTTATTTTGTCATTAAGTCAAACTTCAGTTATTTTGAATTGCAAATTTTGCTGGCATTATTTTGCTTTCACGGTCACAATTAGGTACCTTTAATGCTTCCAGTGCTAAGAAAGAGCAACTTAAACACACCCTCTCCACGCTTCACATCATGGATCCAGAACTAGCATCTCCCACCACCACCACATTTGGATTTTTTGTTTATTTTCTAAGCATCTAAAGAGATTTTGCTAAGATTCCTACTATCTCTCAGTACTGTTTCTGCCTCATTGTAGTTTTTCATGTTTAACAAGTGGGTCTAAAGGCATAGATCATATGTTAAGGTCCTGGCCAGAACCCATATGGTGATCATACAAACAATCCCACTTAGCTCAAAAATTATTTGCATTTTGTACACAAGCAAATTAGCCCACAAGTTCTACTACTTCAGTACTGAATTTTCAATTAAATACATAACAACTGGATATCCATGGACATTCACAAAAAGCCAAA